GACCGGGCAGTGTTTTGTTCTGTTGTACGTAGGGTCGCTATGAGTCAGAACCAACTCGACGGCACCTAAAACAGTATTTGTCTAATGGAGCCTTGGTGGTACAGTGGTTTAGGAGCTCGGCTGCTGACCAAAAGGTCGGCATTTCAAATCCACCAGCTACTCCTTGGGGCAGTTCTTTTCTGTCCTGTAGGGTTGCTATGAGTTGAAATCAGCCCGATGCCAATGGGTTTGTTTTGATATTTGTCTAATATTAACACAAACCCCAACCCTCTAGTCACATGGTTGGTCTTTCTGGCATGACCAGCTTCCACTCTTGTGTCACCTCTTTATACTATCAGGTGTGAACCAAAGAGTCCACCGTGAATCTCAAAAGGTGGTCCTGTTACTTTGCAAATTCCAAGGGTTTAGAGGTTACCTCTCAAGAGCCGGGACAAAGGCCAGAACTCTGTTGTTGTTAGTTGCCATTGAGTCTATTCTGACTCATAGTGACCTCGTGTGCAGAATAGAACTGTTCTATAGCGTTTTCAAGGTTGTGACCTTTCAGAAGCGGATCACTGGGCTTGTCTTCCAAGGCGCCTCTGAGTGGGTTCGAACCATCAACCTTTTGGCTAGTAGTTGATCACTTAACTGTTTGTGCCACCCAGCCACCATTGCCCTCTCTTTAGGTGAGATCAAATTCCCTACTGCAGAAGTGGAATTTAAATATGTCCGTTGTACTAAAATACTGGAAAACAGGAACGGAAAATGGTAATGAAAATCCAGCCATAAAATCCATCCTTCAAAGACAACTGCTCTTATTTTGGTTAGTTGTACAGTTGGTTTGCATGCACCATAGGTTTCTATAAAAGACATTTTGTCATTTCATAAATAAGTTTTACAAATTTTTCCCATGACCTTAAATATTTTACACTATCATGTTAATAAGGAGCCCTGGTGGTGAAATGGTTAAGTGCACAGCTGTTAACCAAAAGGTTGGTGGTTTAACTCACACAGCTGCTCTGTGGAAGACGGTCCTGGCAATCTGCTTTCTTAAAAGATTACAGCCTAGAAAGCCATTCTACTCTGTCACATGGGGCCGCAAGGAGTTGGAATTGACTTGTCTGTACCTTAATATAATAACAACAGCATACTAAGTATGTATATGCATATATAATTCTTTGTTGTTGGTTTTTAACTTGTTGCAGGTTTTCTCAGTTAGGAAACCTGCCAATGTCCTTTCAATGGTGTATATTTTACTTGACTTTTTGATTCTTTGGGTTCAATTCTAGAACCCAGCCACCTGCATTCTGCTATTTATTAAGATGTTTGACCCAAGGCAAGTTAGAGTCTCTGACACAGTTTTGTTCAATCTCAAGTGAGAACAAATCATTTCTGTTATAATCACAAGGTTAAATCCTAACCTTTCTTTAAAGCCTCTTATTGACTCTGTCATCTGTAATTGGAAGAATTGTTGCTCTGGTTCATCTGAGAAATTATACATCATAGATTTATCACTTGGTTAAAGAAAACCACTTGTTGAATTGCTTTATCATTTGTGTATTTCTTTTATCATCCAAACAAAAAATCCACAGTGGATCCTCGATACCCCTTAAGCAATAACTCCCCATTCTCTCCTCTCCTGAGTCCCTGGTAGCAACTAATAAACTTCGGTTTCTATGCTTCAATCATAGATTAAAATTATCAAAATTAAATTAAATTATCAAAATTATCGTGTATGGACCTATCCATAACTTATGTCAATCAAAACTGGTTCATATACTTCTTGTCTCCCCTCATATTATATGAAAATAAGAATGACTCCACCACCACCACCGCACTGTAGACCATTGGAGAAATATGTTTTTCATGTTAGCACTATCGATATACAAGGATTTGTCCATCGATTTCCCCCAGAAGGAGTGGGTATGCTTGTATTTTGCTCAAAGGACTTTGTAAAGGGCCATAATTTTGGAGAACTACAGGAACCTGGTCTACCTGGGTGAAGTAGGAGAAGTCAGGCCACCCCTTAGGTGTCTTTGCATTTTCCATTGTAAGTCTCTTGAGAACTCCTGTCGTTCTTGACTGAGTTTCCATTTCCTTCTTTATGGGAATGATTGAGGCTTCATTGATTCAGAACTGAAGAGCTTCATAATGTGGCATCTGGACTTTTACCTTCCCCTTTCTTTATAAGATCTTGACCTGAATTGATGATGGCTCCAGAACTTGAATGTGCATAAAACCCGTGGCCAGCATTTCAAACATCCGGTGTCCTGGTTACTCCCCTGTGTTTTTGATTTAGTAGTTCATGGAAGAGTCCTTAGGTATCTGCACCTTTAAAATGATCCCTAAGCATTTATAAGAGGACAATGGCTCCTTTGTAAAAAAAAAAATTATTGTAGTAAAAAATATATAACTAAAATTTTGCTATTTTAACTATTTTTAAGTATACAATTCAGTGACATTAAATACATTAACAATATTGTACAGCCATCTCCACCATCTAATTTCACAACTTTTGCATCATTCCAAACAAACTCACTACCTCTTAAGCAATAACTTCCAATTCCCTCCTCCCTTGGTCCCTGGTAGCCACTAATAAACTTTGGTCTCTATGCTTTTGCCTTTTTTACTTGTTCCATATGAGTTACATCATATAATATTTGTCCTTTTGTGTCTCACTGATTTCACTTAGCATAGTGTTTTCAAGATTCATCTGTGTTTTTCTTTTATGAATGAATAATATTTCGTGGTATGTGTTTTTTTAATCCATTCGTCTGTTAATGGACACTTGAGTTGTTTCCATCTTTTGGCTATTGTGAATATTGTTGCACTGAATATTGGTATACACGTATCTTTTTGAATCCCTGCTTTCAAGTCTTTTGGTTGGGTTCAAACTGCCAACCTAATAGTGAAATATGGTAATTCAATGTTTAACTTTTTGAGGAACTGCCAAACTGTTTTCCACAGTGGTTGTACTATTTTACATTCTCACCCACAGTGTGTGAGATATCCAGTTTCTCTACATACTTACTTTCATGGGTTGACTTGTGTTCCCCAGAAATATCTGTCAACTTGGCTAGGTGGTGATTCCCAGTATTGTATGACTGTCTACCATTTTATCATCTGATGTAATTTCCCTGTGTGTTGTAAATCCTATCACTATGATGTAGTAAGATGGATTAGCAGCAGTTATATTGATGTTATCTACAAGATTAGATAGTGTCTTAAGCCAGTCTCTTTTGAGATACAAAAGAGAGAAGTGAGCAGATAGACATGGGGACCTCGTACTACCAAGAGAGCAGCGCCAGGAGCAGAGCGCATCCTTTGGACCTGAGGTTCCTTCGCTGAGATGTTCCGGGACCAAGGGAAGACTGATGCATTACAAGGACCTTCCTCTAGAGCTGACAGAGAACGCCTTCCCCTGGAGCCGGTGCCCTAAATTCAGACTTCTAGCCTACTGGACTGTGAGAGAATAAATTTCTCTTTGTTAAAGCCATCTGCTTGTGGTATTTCTGTTACAGCAGCACTAGATGACCAAGACACTCACTAACAATTATTTTCCATTTTTCTGATAACAGTTATCAGAATAGTTGGTGAGAAGTGATATCCCACGTGGTCTTGATTTGATGGGCCCTGGTGGCGCAGTGGTTAAGCATTTAGCTGCTAACCAAACGATAGCAGTTTGAATCCACCAGCCACTCCTTGGGAACCCTATAGGGCAGTTCTTCTTTGTCCTGTAGGGTCACTATGAGTTGGAATCGACTTGACAGCAAGAGGTTTGGTTTGGTTTAGTGACTAGATAACACTGAACATCTTTTCATGTGTTTATCGGGCATTTGACTTTGTTGGAGAAATGACTTTAAGTCCCTTGACCATTTTTTAAATTTGTAAGTAGATCACCAGGCCTTTCTTCCTACTTTATCTTAGTCTGGAAGCTCTGCTGAAACCTGTTCAGCATCACAGCAACATGCAAGTTCCCACTGACAGACGTGTGGTGGCTTAGCATGAGGTGCATTGGCCTAGAATTGAAGCTGGGTTTCCCACATGGGAGGTGAAAATTTTACCACTGAGCAATCAATGACCCTGTTTTCCATTATAATAAAGGTGGCTATTTGACATAGAAATTGCCAGTAACATAGACAAAGTCACTGGGTCTCATCCTTTTCCATGTGTCATGGATTGAGTTATGTCCCCCCAAAATATGTCAGCTTGGCTAGGCCATGATTCCCGGTATTGTGTGGTTGTCCTCCATTTTTCTATGTAAAAGGTATGATTTTCCTATGTGTTGTAAATCCTAATCCCTGTCTGTGGTTAATGAGGCAAGATTAAAAACCAAAGCAGCCGTTGCCGTCAAGTCGATTCTGACTCGTAGTGACCCTATAGGACAGAGAAGAACTTCCCCATACGATTTCCAAGGAGCGCCTGGTGGATTTGAACTCCTGACCTTTTGGGTAGCAGCCATAGCTCTTGACTATTAGGCCACCAGGGTTTCCAAGGCAAGATTAGGTTATGTTAAAGAAGATTAAGGTGGGATGCAATACCCTTACTCAGGTCACAGCTCTGATCTGGTGTAAGGTGAGTTTCCCTGGGGTGTGGCCTGCATTAACCTTTTATCTTACCAGAGATAAAAGGAGAGAGAAGCAAGTAAAGAGATAAGGACCTACTACCACCAAGAAAGAAGTGCCGAGAGCACAGCACGTCCTTTGGACCCAGGATTCCTGCGCTGAGGAGCTCCTGGACCAGGGGAAGATTGATGACAAGGACCTTCCCCCAGAGCCAGCAGAGAAAGCCTTCCCCTGGAGCTGATGTCCTGCATTCAGATTCCTAGCCTCCTAAACTGTGAGAGAATAAATTTCCGCTTATTACAGCCGTCCACTTGTGGTATTTCTGTTAGAGCAGTACTAGATAACTAAGACACCATATAAACAATGCAGAGCCTAGGAAGGAAAAAAATAGGCTTTTCCCTTCGTCCTTCAGTCTTACTCTTTTTCATACAGCAGCCAACTTGCCACCATGAGAATGCTGGTTGTGTGGTAATGGAGGTAGAGTAGGTAGAAAGAAGGAGCCTGGGTCACTGATTACCTGGCAGAGCACCTGTCACATCTGAACAGTAACCTCTGGACTTCTCGTTATATGAGAAGATAAAATGATAAAAATTCTTACTTGTTTCAGTTTTCCAGGTATTTTGTCACTCACAAACAAAAATATTCCTAACTGACCAATGAGATTGTTATTTTGTGTTGAGAGATTCTGGACATTGATTGTAATTTTGTGCCTTAGAAAAATGTCATGAAGATCTTCCTCCACTGCTGATGTGCAGAGAAAGACAGGTACAACAATTAATCTTTATAACTTAATTTTGAATTGGTCTTCTACCCTTTGTCTTTCTATTTCCTCAACTCCTGTGGCTTTTACCTACAGTACTTGGCTGAAACAGTATCCTGGTGTTTAAGCTCAAGACTCACACCAAAGGTCTATATTACTGTTACTCTGAACAATTTGTGATACTATTGACCACTGTTCACTTTGTTTATATAAGACTATATCTTAGAAATATGTGTAGTTATCACTGTTAACGTAAATAACATTATTTCTTGAGTCTAACGCCCAAATAGATGTAATGTGCTTCCTTTTGTATATTATGTTGTTGTTAGCTGCTTTTGAGTTGGCTCTGACTTGTGGTTATCCCATGCACTATGGAATGAAACGGACAATTGTGATTCATAGGATTTTCAGAAGTAGAACACCAGGCCTTTCTTCATAGTCTGTCTTAGTCTGAAAGCTCCGCTGAAACCTGCTCAGCATCATAGCATCATGCAAGCCTCCGCTGACAGACACATGGTGGCCATGTATGAGGTGCACTGTCTTGGAATCAAAGGTCCCCCACATGAAAGGTGAGAATTCTACCACTAAACCACCAATGCTGCCTAAATTTTTGAGGAATCTCCAAAATGTTTTCCATAGAGGCAGTACCATTTTAAATTATTATCATTAATAATAGCCGTCATAGTGGGTGTAAAGTGGATCTCATTTTTTTGTTTTGATTTACATTTCCGTGATCGCTAATGGGAGGCCTGGTGGTGAAGAGGTTAAGAACTGGGCTGCTAACCAAAAGGTCAGCAGTTCGAATCCACCAGGCACTCCTTAGAAACTCAATGGGGCAGTTCTACTCTGTTCAGTAGGGTTGCTATGAATTGGAATTGACTCGACGGCAATGGGTTTCTGGTTTGTTTTTTTTTTAATCATTAATGAATCTGAACATCTCATGTGCTTATCGACCATATGTAAATCTTTACAGAAATGTCTATTCAGGTCCTTTGCCCATTTTTTATTGGGTTGTTTATCTGTTGTTGAGTTGTAGGAATTTATATATTCTGGATATTAAACCCTTACCTAATACATGATTCTTGAATATTTTCTCTGATATGTAGGTTGTATCTGCACTTTTTTTTTAATAGCTATGCTTTTTTGATAAAGTCTTTGAGGCACAAAAGTTTTTAATTTTGATGAAGTCCAGTTTATCTATTGTCTTTTGTTGCTCATGATTTTGATGTCACATCTAGAAGAATCTGTTGTCAAAAACTAGATCGTGAAGCACTGCCCATATGTTTTTACCCTAAAAGTTTTATAGTTTTAGTTTATATATGGTAATTAATCCATTCTGATTTAATTTTCATATGTGGTGTGATGTATGGGTCCGACTTCATTCTTTTGCATTTGGAGACCGAGTATTCCCAGCCCCATTTGTTGAAGAGACCTTTATTTTTTTCCCCCCACATTGAATGGGTTTTTCACCTTTATGGATAATCAGTTGTCCATAAATGTGTAGGTTTACTCTGAACTGTCAGTTCTATTCCATTCGTCTATGTCTGTCCTTACACCAGAACCAGACTGTTTGGATTGTCGTAGCTTTATGGTACATTTTCTAATAGGGATGTGTGAGTTGCCCTACTTTGTTCCTGTTTTTAAGATTTCTTTGGATATTTATGTCTTCTTGAAATGCCATATGAATTTCAGGATTTGCCTTTCAGTTTCTCCAAAAATGGCTGTTAGAATTTTGATAGGAATTGCAATAGATCGCTTTGGGTACTGTTTACACCTTAACAGTATTAAGTCTTCCAATCCATGAACACAGGATGTCTTCCCATTTATTTAAACTAAAAAAACCAGTTGCCTTTGAGTTAATTCTGACTCATGGTGAGCCCATGTGTTTCAGAGTAGAGCTGCACTCTGTAGGACTTTCAATAGCTGGGACCTTTTGGAAGTAGATCTCCAGGCCTTTCTTCTGAGACAACTTCCATTTATTTAGGTCTTTTTAATTTCTTACCGTAATGTTTTATGGTTTTCCATGTATAAGTCTTTCACCTCCCTGGTAAAATTAATTCCTAGGTGTTTTTTTTCTTTTAGATACTATTGTAAATGGAAGGATTTTCTTAATTTCCTTTCTTAAGTTCGTTGCTGGTTTATAGAACCACATCTGATTTTTGTGTGTTGACCTGTATCCTACAACTTTGCTGAATTCATTTATTAGCTCTAATACTTGTGGATTCTTTAGCATCTCCTATATATAGGATCTTATCAACTATGAATAGTTTTGCTTTTTCCTTTCCTATTTGGATACCTTTTATTTCTTTTTCTTGGCTAGAACTGCCAGTACAATATGGAGTAGCAGTGGTGAAAGTGGATATACTGGTCTGTCCTGTTCTTAGGGGGTATAATTTCAGTCTTTCTCCATTGAGTATGACTTTAGCTGTGGGTGTTTCATAAATACCTTTTAGCATGTTGAGGAATTCCCTTCTTCGTCTAGTTTTTTGAGTGTTTTTATCATGAAAGGGTCTTGGATTTTTTTTTTTTAATTGTACTTCAAGTGAAGGTTTACAGAACAAATAGTTTCTCATTAAACAGTAGTACACATATTGTTTTATGACATTGGTTAACAAACCCACGACATGTCAACCCTCTCCCTTCTCGACCTTTTTTTTTTTTTGGTGAAAATATAGCCAAAGATACACCATTTCAAAAATTTCTACATGCACAATTCAGTGACATCGACTACGCTCTTCCTGTTGTACTGCTATTCTCACTTTAGATGAAGGTTTACAGAACGCAATAGTTTCTCATTAAACAGTACACATGTTGCCCTATGACAGTGGTTAACAACCCCACTACACGTCATCACTGTCCTTACTCAACCTTGGGTTCCCTATCACCAGCTTTCCTGTCTTGTTCTGCCTTCTAGTCCTTGTCCCTGGACTGCTGTGCCTCATTAGTCCCGTTTTGTTTTATGGGGCTGTCCAATCCCCGGCTGAGCAGTGAACCTCAGAAGTGACTTCACCGCTGAGCTAAAAAGGTGTCTGGGGGCCATACTCTTGGGGTTTCTCCAGTATCTGGTAGGCCAGTAACTCTGGTCTTTTGTGTGTGTGTGTTAGAATTTTGTTCTACATCCTTCTCCAGCTCTGTCCAGAACCCTCAGTTGTGATCTCGGTCAGAGCAATCGGTGGTAGCCGGGCACCATCTAGCTGTACTGGACTCAGTCTGGTGGAGGCCTTGGTAGCTGTGGTCCATTAGTCCTTTGGACTAATCTTTTCCTTGTATCCGGTTCTCTTCATTCTCCCTTGCTCCCGAAGGAGTGAGACCAGTGGAGTATCTTAGATGGCCGCTCACAGGCTTTTAAGACCCCAGACACTACTCACCAAGGTAGAATGCAGAACATTGTCTTTATAAACTGTATTATGCCAATTAAGCTAGATGTTCCCTGAGAAGGGGTCTTGGATTTTGTCAAATGCTTTTTCTGTGTTGAGATTATAATGTGATTTTTTTTCCCTTTCATTAATGTGGTGTATTACATTGTTTAATTTTCTTATGTTGAACCATTTCTGGGATAAATCCCATTTCATCATGGTATATAATCCTTTTAATATACTATTGGAGTCAGTTTACTAGTATTTTGTTGAGGGTATTTGCATCTAGATTCATAAGATATATTGACTTCTAGTCTTGTGGTATCTTTGTCTGGCTTTGGTATCAGGATATTGCTGGCCTTGTAGAAAAAGTGTTCCCTCACAATAATTGCTGTGTTTGAGCCCATTGACTTAAACTTTAAAACAACAACAACAATAAAAACGTATTTTTCTACTGCCTGGCTTCTCTGTCCTCCAGCTCTTTCTTTAGACAGTCTTTTAGTTTGGCTAGAAGTCCCCCATGGAGTCTAACTTTGATTCCATCAGTTTTAGGGCTCCTGAGCAGCCTAAAATCCACTGACCCTCCTCTCCCTCAGACTGGGTCATGGAGGCTGGGAGACTGTCTCTCTCAGACTAGAATTCTGCCCTATCTGCCGTCCCTCTGTCAAACAGAGGGTCTCTCATCACCACACTGAGCCACTGCCCTCAGACTAGGGCAAGATGTTAGAAGAAAATCTGCCACATGGGATGCTGGGTGGACCTTACAGAATTTCCTCCACCTCCCCTCCAAGAAAGGGGTAGAAATTCATGAGGAGTTGGGATCCTTTGGTGCTGTTGAAGTCACCTTGTTTGTTCCAAGTTTACAAACAACAGAAAATCATTCTTTCTTTTTAACAACTGTGCATAAGTTCCAGCAAATGTCACTTAAGGGGTATGCCATTTGATACCCACATGGATCATTTCTGTAAATACCATTGGCACACTCTTTTTTGTACGTGCCTTGGATAATGAGAAGTGGCTTCCGTGCTCCTACCAGCTTTTGTTGCTCTTGAATTTTCCTTAAGACGGCACTTTTCTGAAAGGAGTTAAAACTCAGTCAAGCTTCAGAGAAAGAGCACCAGCCAAGACAGGCCTGGAGGTCCACCTCCCTCTGCACCCTGCCTGCCTCAGAGCCCTGGCCTTGGAGGGTGGGAGAGCAGTGAACTTCACAAGGTGAACATGCACGATAGCGATGCGTGGGAAGGGGTCTAAAACAGGTTGTGCACTTCTCTAGTAGCCTGGCCTTTGCAGATTAGTTTGCGATGGGCCCTCACTTGCACCCAATCCTGTCACTGCCACCTCAGGCCTCCCAGCTTATCTGCAGCTCCCTGAGGGTGGAAAAAAGGGCAGCTCCGAGGATCTCCAGCCAGCTCTCCCTGCCTGATGACCCCCTCCTGTCCTCCAGCACAGCGTTTCCCCATCACACTCCTTTTGTCCGCCTCCCTCTCTCCAGGGTTCTGGCAGAACATGATCCATAGTCTCCAGTGTGAATGTAAGAACTGGGCACTGGTCTGTTCCCCTCCCACCTCTGACCAAGGTGGAGGAGCCCCTGATTCGGCCCCTCTTTCCTGGATCCTTCCCGGGCACCTCGCATTCTCTGCCCTCGCCTTGGTGTTTGATATCCCTCTATACCTATCTCCAGCCATCCCTGTGCTGTGCGTGGGGTGGGGGGTAGGGGCACAGTTCTCAAGTCTTTCTAGGAAGGCCGAGATACTGGACACCCTCAGACTCAAGAGCAGGGGAGGATGAGAAGGAGACAGCCCTCAGGACCTGTGTCCCAGTTACGGGATGGCTCTGTCCTGGCCCAGACCCCTCCAGGGATTATCACTGTCTCCCGGTGTCTGGGTGTCTACCTCTGTGATGGACGAGTTTCCCTGTTACCCTGCACTTTACTTCAGAGACAGCTGTGGACGCGTGCACATAGGCTTCCACTCCCACCCCTAGGTCTTTCTCTGCACGCAGCCAGCGTCCTGTAGCCATGGGAGTATTGGGGGACTGAGGTGGCAACTAACTGGTGATGAGCTTAGCACGGGTCAGAGGCTGGGAGAGGCAAACAGGGCCTGGCTAGACCACCAAAGCCAGCTAAGGAATGGAGTGCGTGGACCTGGCTGGTAGGCACGCTGGGACAGCAGGACATCCAGGATAGAATGTTCCTTCCTTCAGGCTATACAGCAACAAGTGCTTGGAGGTGGGTACCCCAGGGGTCTTGTGAAAATGCAAATTTTTATCTTGGGTGGGGCTTGAGATTTTCTGTATTTTACAAGCTCCCAGTTTATGCTGAAAATAACTATTGTAGTAATAGGATATGAATAAAACTAGAGAATGCTATTAGAGAAATTAATAAAGTGAAGGATAATGTTTAAAGGGAGCCATGGTATACAGATTATGAGAGAGAGAGAGAGGAAACATTTACACTGATACCAAGAAATACAAGAGTAGGAGTCAGCTGGGTGGGATATTAGGGAGGAAAGAAACAGGAGCAGTCATGGGAGAGTGCTCCTTAAAGAAAATTATTTTCTGATTATTGGTTGATCGATTATTATGAGGTTGACAGAGAATGTGTTCAGGAATTCTCTCAGATTTCTGGAAAGTTTGGGGACTGGTGATGTCATGGCCAGAGAGTGAACGAAAAAAAAACTCAAGGTGAAGAAAGAAATGTTGCAAAATCAACAGGAAGAATACTGATCACATATTACCATGTTATAAGTGAAAAGGAAGTTTTTTTAAAAAGAAGCACATCAGAAGAGTTTCAGCTGCACATAATTAAAAATGTGATGCATGATGAGTTCATTGACTTGAACTATATTCAAATATATTGTCCCTGAAACTTCACCCATGTTGATATCAAATAAAAGTGAGGTGAACCCTTAACCTCATAGGTGAACCCTCAACCTAAGGCTTAGACCCCTGACTCCCTGGAGGAAGCCAGGGTCATGTTTTCCAACCTGGACAGGCCTGAATGCCTCTCATGCTCTGGGATGAGGAAACCCCTCCTTCTGTGATGCTGTTGCCAGAGGAAGAGGCTTGTGGAGCTGCATGAAGAATGCAAGTGTGTGCTTTGGAAGGCCGGAGTAGGATCTGCCTGAAATGCACATACCCTCAGAGTGGAGCATGGCCTTGAGCCTGCCTAGGGAAAGAGCTGAAGGCTAAGAACCTGTCACTCCTTCCTTAACATTGTCTCCTTCTTCCATGTCAGGTCCCAGGTGTGGTGCAGGGAGAGATAGCCCAGCCTAGGCAGCTGGGGACTGAGGACGACCGTCTTGCACATCCATGCAATCACAGGTAAGGATTTTAACTGCCGTGACTGGCTGTGTGGCCCAAAGAGCATTCATCTGCCTCCAAACTGCCTAGTGGCTCTGCTTCCACTGCCATGCCTCTTCCTGAAGTGGATTCTTGGGCTTAGAGAGCACATTCACTTCGATTTCCAGAAGCTGGAGACAGGAAATGGTGAATACTACAGAGAACTGGGGTATTGTTAACTGTAAGGGGTGAGGCTGGATATGAGGACCATGTGCTCTGGGCCCTGAGGTTCCTAAATGAGATAAAAAGGTAGCAGAGGAAGCCAAGGGACTGAACTCTAAGAGGCATCCTAATGCCCTGCTCCACTGTCACTGGGCCCTTCCTCTACACATATGTGGATTTCCAAGGCTTGGATGCCTGGAATCACCCTCCTTATGTGACTCTCAGGGCTGGCATGATTGGGCATTGACATCCCCGTCCCAGGCCTTGGTACTCCATGTTGAATGACAGAACTTCCTGACCGGAGTCTGAAGATGGAGCAGCTCTGGCTGAGGAGAATGAGTCCCAGGTCCTCCATAGCCATCCTTTTCCCATCCCTGCAACATTTTTTTTGTTTTCCCCTAGGCAGAGGAGCCTTTTCTGTGCAGTTCTAAAACTACAGCTCTACTTCTAACACTGTGTAATATAGAAAACGGGAGAGAGTTACTAGCGGAAGGCCCTGACTGTTAATGGAGTCCTGGGTGGGGCTTGCTCCTCTTATGAATTCACTAACGAAATGAGGCAGTGGACAGTGAGTCCAGCTGAATCATGTGTGGGGTCTCCAGATCCATCCTTTTTAGAGGGTTGTTTTTTCTTTGAGGCTTTTAGGTGTGTGAGGAGCATATTTCCCCAGTCCTTGTCCTCCCACTCATCTCTGCCTAGAGCTGATATTAAGTCCTTATAATTTTCACCTGCTCCCCACAGTTTTGAATGGGAATCTAAAATAAAAGTTCTTTTTTTGCTAGACTAACTCAGCATAGGTGGTGGTATATTTAACTTCCTGGGTTTACAGTTCCCATTGGAGGAAAATTTCTAGATAAGTTTGTGTTTCTACTGAGGATTTTTCAATTTAATGGATATAAAGTTCTCAAACACAGAGGAATGCTTATTTTAACTGACGAAAGAATAAAAATTTGAAAGTAAAACACTTTTCTCCTGCTTTGTTGAACACAAAAGGTAGCTTGGAATCTACACTTGCTTTTTATTTAACAAATTTTCCTTGAGTTTTTGTAACAATACGTAGAGAGCTTAAATCTAAATTCTTATAAAACTCCATAATACTGCATATGATTGATCTTTGTGAGTTGTTTTGACCATTTCGGTACAAATGGACACTTGAATTGTGTCCAGTATTTTGCTCTTACAAAACTTGCTCTAGTGAATATAAATGTAAATTTTAAGATCCAGGTTTCAAAAGTTTAGACATATAAGCCCTTCTGAGCTAAGACAAGTTAAATCAAAATGAAGGGGTTTTCACATGACTTTATAAAATTATTATATGAAAATTACATTTCATGTTTTAAGTCATTGCTTTAAGCTTTTAGTATCAACTATATCATAAACAAGAAGTGCATAATCTGTTCAAGTATAGTTTAAATAACAGGAATCTAAATTCCTGATAATAAAAACCTTGTCAGGTTTTATGGTCTTCCATTGTGTCCACCCTGATTTCATCTACTTCCTGCATGGAGATTACTGCTGTCTGCATTTGCGAAGGTTCTTGTTATTATAGTTTTTATTGCTATAATTATAGCTTTGATACCCAAGTCTTTTTTTTTTTAAAATAACATTTTGTTGCTTTTTCAGTGAATATCTACACAGCACTTTACATTCCCATTCAACAATTTCTACTCAAATTGTTCAGTGGCATTGGTTACATTCTTCACAGTTCATGAACATTTTCAATATCTTTGTTTTAAAATAATTCTTGATTGTTTGGTCTCATATACATGATACTTTTTAAATTTTTTTTCTTGTACTTTAGGTGAAGGTTTACAGAACAAATAGTTTCTCATTAAACAGTCAGTACACATATTGGTTTATGACATTGGTTAACAACCCCACGACATGTCAACACGCTCCCTTCTCGGCCTTGGTGGACTTTTTTTTTTTTTTTTGGTGAAAATATACATAGCCAAAGACACCATTTCAAAAATTTCTACAAGTACAATTCAGTGACGTCGATTACGTTCTTCCAGTTGTGCTGCTATTCTCACTTTAGATGAAGGTTTACAGAACAAAATAGTTTCTCATTGAACAGTTAGTACAGATATTGCCCTATGACAATGGTTAACAACCCCACTACACGTCAACACTGTCCTTACTCAACCTTGGGTTCCCTATCACCAGCTTTCCTGTCCCCTCTTGCCTTCTAGTCCTTGTCCCTGGACTGCTGTGCCTCATTAGTCCCATTTTGTTTTATGGGGCTGTCCAATCCCCGGCTGAACAGTGAACCTCGGGAATGACTTCACTACTGAGCTAAAAGGGTGTCCGGGGGCCATACTCTCGGGGTTCCTCCAGCTCTGTCCAGAAACCTCTGTTGTGATCCTGGTCAGAGCAGTCAGTGGTGGTAGCCAGGCACCACCTAGCTGTACTGGACTCAGTCTGGTGGAAGCCATGGTAGCTTTGGTCCATTAGTCTTTTATACTAATATTTTCCTTGTATCCTCTTCCCTTCATCCTCTCTTGCTCCTGAAGGGGTGAGACCAGTAGAGTATCTTATATGGCTGCTCACAGGCTTTTAAGACCCCAGACACTACTCACCCAGGTTGAATGTAGAACATTGTCTTTATAAACTGTGTTATGCCAATTGAGCTAGATGTTCCCTAAGACCATGTTCCCTACAGCCCTCCACCCAGCATTTCAGTCCCTCGGGGAGTTTGGATGTGTCTATGCAGCTTCCATGACCTTTCCTTGTACAAGTTGTGCTGGCTTCCCCAGTATTGTGTACTGTCTTACCCTTTACCAAAGTTACCACTTATCTATCGTCTATTTAGTATTTCCCCCCCACCGCTATCATCCCTCGTAATCAACAAAGATTGTTATTTTTTGTGTATAAACTTTTTCATGAGTTTCATGAGGTCTCATACAATATTTGTCCTTTTGTGATTGACTTATTTCACTCAGCATAATGTCTTCCAGTTTCATCCATGTTATGAGATGCTTCACAGATTCATCACTGTTCTTTATCGTTGCATAATACTCCATTGCGTGTATGTACCATAGTTTGTTTATGCATTCATCTGTTGATGGGCATCTAGGTTGTTTCCATCTTTTTGCTATCGTGAACAATGCTGCCATGAACATGGGTGTGCATATGTCTATTTGTGTGAAGACTCTTATTTCTCTAGGATATATTCTTAGGAGTAGGATTGCTGGATCATATGGTATTTCTATTTCTGGCTTTCTAAGGAAGGGCCATATCATTTTCCAGAACGGTTGTGTCATTATGCATTCCCACCAGCAGTGCACAAGAGTTCTGATCTCCCCACTGCCTCTCCAGCATTTGTTATGTCCAGTGTTTTTGATTCATACCGGTAATGCTGGGGTGAGATGGTATCTCATTGTGGTTTTAATCTGCATTTCTGTAATGGTTAGTGAACACGAGCATTTCCTCATGTATCTGTTGGCCACTCGAATGTCTTCTTTGGTGAAGTGTCTGTTCATTTCCTTTGCCCATTTTTTAAT